GGGGGGGGGGGGGCTTTACCCTACCGAGTAGAAAGAGCGCTTGAACTCTACAGTGAGGAAGACCTCGAAGGTCTGGAGGGTGGCGCGGTGGGCGTCGTCGGGCACCAGGCCCCGCTTCAGCAGCAGGCCGCCGCCCTCCTGCTTGAGAAACACCAGCAGGTCGGCTGTGGGGACGTCGCTGATGCCGCCGGGGGCGGCGCCGTGGATGTACCTGATGTGTTTATGTGTGAGAGCAGCCACAGACAGACACAGGCAGACGACAGAGATGCAGAGATACCCACGGTGTCTCCCCCTCTCCCTCCGTCCCTCCCTCCCTCTTTGTATGTGTGTGTGTGTACCAGCCATGCTGTGGCTCGTTGAGTATGAGCAGCGATGTGTTGGAGAGGGCGCAGAGGTCCACTAGCATGTCAAGGGGGTTGGGCACGATCACCGACAGCAGCCGCTGCCCGACCAGCTCCAACAGCACCACCAGCACCCACACCAGACCGCTTATCGCTATCTGTATGCATATCACGCACACGAAAGGCATGGTAGGAGGGAGCACTGTGGCTGCTGCGGTGGTTCTCTTGTGGTTGTCTTGCCTGTAGGAAAGGGTTATAAGGCGCGTTGCCGTGGCTGAGGTCGTCCATCTGCGGCCGCCATCTGCCCGCGTTCTTCCACTCTAGACCTGTGCAGCACACACACACACAACAGACTCACACACACATACACCGCACACACACATGGCCTCCTCTCTCTCTCTCTCTCTGTGTGTGTGTGTGTGAGTGAGTGAGTGAGTGAAAGGCACCTTCAAGGAAGAACAAGACGGCCATCCATGTGACCTGTGGGTTGGTGTAGGTGAAGGTCTGCCGCTCATTCAGCTCATTCAGCACAAACAGCGACCGCCACGCAGAAGGGCCCCTCCCGGCCCCTCCCACATCAGCCCCACCACCTCCCCCAGCCACTCCCCCGGTCCCCCCTGCTACTTGTTGCTGTTGCTGCTGCTGCTGCTGCCTGGTCCCCTCGTCCTTGCTCGGCTGTGGGAGCTGCTGCTGCTGAGATGGGTGTATGGGTGTGCTGAGCCGCATTGCGGGTGACGGCGGCACATTGCTCACCGGGCGGTGGAACGGCTCGCGGTCGAGCACCACCACGAACGCCTGAGACTGACATGTGTGTGTGGGAGGGGGAGAGAGAGGCAAAGAATGCATGTGGGTAGAGGTGGGGGTGGTTCGTGAGTTACTTGTTGCAGGATGGCGAATAGGGTGGCGAGGAAGCAGAAGCAGTAGCCCAGGATGAGCGTCACGTCAAAGGGCAGATACGCCCGGCCAGAGCCACCCATCAGACCCGACGGCAGCAACACATAAGGCTCCTCCTGACCACACCGCAGAACGAGCAACACTCCCCATCCATCCATCCATCCCCACCCCCCACCC